CGCTTTCCCTGGAAGTGAAGCCCAGGCAACTACCCCGCGGCCGCCCGCCCCGCCCTCTCCCACCTCGTCCCTCCTCTCCTCCTCCCCGCGTCGGACCCTCCCTTCGGCCCCACCGCGCCACCCCCTGGGGGAGGAGAGGTGGGGGCCGTGTGATTGAAACTCCCAGGAGTGCAGGCCCAGGCCCCAGCGACTCTCTCTGAACGAATTTCTTTGCATGAAATAGATGTTTCCGTTAGGTGTTCCGTCTTCGGTTCGCCATTCTAGGAGAAGAGTCTAAATTCTCTCTTGGAGGAGATCACAGGCCATGCGGTACCTGGGATCCCACTCAGCCGCCAAGCGCGGGTAGGAGCGCTGGAGTTATTTTTTTCTCTGCCCAGCCGGCCAAGTCTAAAACTCGACACTTCGGTTTTCCGAGCTGAAGGACCGCACCTCTCCTACAACTCCTTTCCTCTAGCTTTTCATTTCTTAGCCCACAAACTCTCCAAACTCTATCCAAATGTGCTTTTCATTCTGTCACCTCCTACCAGTCTTGGGAACCGAACAGAAACAGACTCACACTCAAGGCTGGCAAGGAAAAGTCCATCTGCAGCAGCCAAGAGAAAGCGCACGGCTTGGCGCCCTCCTGACTCGGCCTCCTTGCAGCTTCACGTTTGTTGCTGGATTTCTAGGCACTTTCTTACAACCAGCCTAAGGCTCCAGAAAGCAAGAATTTCTCTTAATCCCCAACCCAGTGTTCTTCAGTGTTTAAAGACCACTGAAAAGCGACGCTGTGAAGAAATGCGCACTTGGTGCTGCGACTGTGGCAAGGCCTAGGGCCGGGCCTTCACACTGTATTTAAATAACACACTGCTGTCCGGAGAGTTGCACTACCACGGGCAAATAACTTGAGTCCTACATTTTGCTCTCATCTGTGAAGCTAGAATTCCTAGGGTTCACCCAGTGGAGCAGTGGGAGGATAGTGGAGGAAGGCTGGGAGTGGGAAAAGCGAGCTGGGGGGTGCAGGCCGCTCAGAAGGCTCGAGGCACCCTCTGCCAGCTGCACACTACCCCACACGCGCAGCTCTTCCCTCTGTGCCAGCGAGAGCTCTCCTGGGGATCTGAGAGCCCCTGACCGGAAGTGCTTGTTAGTATGTTCCCCGGATGTGGCTGAAACATGGGCACTAGATGCTATTTAATAAATATTTGTTAAATAACGAATAGATGAACTCAAGTCTAGGGAAACTGAACAGTCTCCTCCTGGCTTGTGTGACTGAAATTTGTGAGGATCCATGTCCTCGGCTCTGACCCTAGGACCTGCGCTGAGTGAGTTCCGGCTGAGTGTGCTGTCACTGATAATAACAGATCTCCCACTGCATTCCTGGAAAAGTCTCCCTTTATTCTGTTGTGGCTCTTCATTTAGTATTTTATTTGTCTTCTCATCACTGGGAAGGAGGGAGAGCCAAAGGGCTAGAGAGAACTGTCTCTGATAAACAGCTAATCATGCTCAGTCCAGAGCAACAGGCAAGTAGCCCAGGAGTTTATTTCCCTGGACAGAAGAGAGGTCAGGCAGAGACCCTGGAGCCGGGAGCTGCAGGCCAGAAGTGTGAGTCGTGAGAAGTCTGCCTTCTGTCTTTGCTATAACGGGGTTGAAGCACTGAGCTTTGGCAGTGGTCTACATGAAATAACTGACTTCCAGCTACACGAGACATGTTTTCTTTGACTCTAGAATTAGAACAAGTTAAAAAAAAAACACTTGAATAAATTAATTTTCTCTTGTGGTGCTCGGGATTGAACCCATGCTCCTCACACTGAGCTTCAACCCCAGCTGTTTTTAAAGTTTTTATTTTGAGACAAGGTCTTGACTAATTATGAAGTTTCCCAGGCTGAGCTTGAGTTTGAAATCCTCCTGCCTCTGTCCCCAGAGGACTGAAACCAATTTCAAATCGAAGAAGAACACTGTTTTCTCATATTTATTCTTTTAACCAGGACAATACAGTCATTCATTAAACAAATATTTATTGTTTCCTATGTGCTGGACACTCTTCTAGGCTCTGAGGTTGCAGCAGGTAGGAAAACAAAAATCTGCTTTTCATGGAGCCTCCTATTATCTATGGTAGTCTCAGTTAACCATTCTGTTCTGTGTTATTTTTTAATCCAAAGGTTCATGGATGTGTTGGGCTATACTCTTTTGAGTATTGTTTCTTCAAGATTTCAAGCCTTTCAGTTAGGATGATTTACATTTCCAAATCCCGTAGCTAATGTAGTGACTCCTTAATTTACACACGGTGGAGCACTACTCTGCTATAAAAAGGATGAACTTAAGTCATTTGTAGGAAAATGGACACACCCTGAGACCATAATGCTAAGTGAGAGAAATTAGACACAAAAGCTTAAATATCGCATGGTTTGTCTTACATGAGAAATCCAAACTATAAATGAAAAGCAAAATCAAAATAAAAGATGATAATAGAAAGTAGGGAAATAGCTCTTTCTCAAATGGAGGGGGAGGAATGGACGAAAACGGGAAGGAAAAAGGAATTTAAGGTGCGTTCTGTACATTACCAGCCCCACACAGGGATGCAAACGTATGTACAGCAAACATGCACTAATTAACAAGTGAAGCCGCTCTCACTAGATACAGTGTGGGGTGACCCCCCACCCCGCCATTTTCTCATCTTGCCCTTTTCAGCTAGAAGCCCTTTGATGAGGCGGGGTGCAAAAACAGCCCTGCCGTCTGCTGAGGCCTCCTCCCAGCGTTCGGAGACTTCCGTTCCCAGGGGCGGTGGCCCTGACCCTAACTCACAGCGCTTCCTGCCAGTGCTGGTCTCCCAGCGGCAGGGCCTAAGGTCGTGGAGCTCAGCAGCAGACCTCGCCCAAAGAAGTCCCAGCGTTCAGGCAGCCTCATCTCCAGGCGTCAGCCACGAGGGCTGGATCAGTTCGAACCACACATGCAGGAGGCACAGAAGAAGGAAGAAGCTTAGCGTTTGAAGTGTCTGTGACATTTAGACCTTCAAAAACATCCCAAGAGAGAGGCAGAAGTTTGTTGAAGGTCCTTGCACTTATTTTCTAAATATATATGTCCATGTGTTTGAGAACTGCTGTGAGGTGTTCGGTGCTTGAGGATGCCAGAAGGCTCAATTTGACCTGGTTGCTTACAGCCAGAGCTGATAATGCCAAATCCTGCTCTAGTTTTGATCCTTTGAAAAGCGTGATAACCTGTTCCAAACTGTCCTTCAGGTGACACTGGACCTCTTTTTCGAGGTGTGCGGGGCCCTGTCTGGCCCGGCTCTGCTCAGTCCCACCTGGCCTTCCCTTTCCACCTTGGAGTACCACACACAGGACAAGGTTGTGTTCACCTCTTTTCAATGTCTTGATGCCAGTGTAGCCATCACTACCTCCCAGAGGTTTTCCTGTTCACCCTAACAGAGTCCCAGCCCCTGCTTCCACAAGGCTTGAGGTCAGCCCCTTGCTTGCTGGCTGGCACTACTGCTGTACTTCTGCACATTTGATCTGTCTGCTGTTGTCATGGGGCAGCACTCTGAGGCTCCTTGCCTAGCACACGGGCAGCTTCTACAGTAGGGTAAATGCGTGGGATAAAGGAATGCAAGAATGCGTGGAGACACTGCCTGATCCCGCTCTGTTAAAATTCTCAGAAGAAAACATGCTCTTACCTTTTCCACTGTGTGTTTCTATCAGGTGTCCGCCCCTCAGCAGTCTGCTCACAATGAGATCTCAGAGCGTGTATGTCCACTTTCAATTTTTCATGTGACTTCTCTTCATTTCCATTTTCCTGTAGTTCACTGCTGTAGTTCAATTTAGTCTTTTTATCTCCTATTATAACAATCTCCAATGTATTTTGCTCATTTGTGAATTCTTTCTCTAATCCTTTCCCTGCACAGCCTCCAGAGCAGTGTTCTAAAATATGGGTGTAACTGCAGAAAACTTTCAGGGTGCCAATCTCTTCCCTGTCCCTTCTTTAACTTTGCACCCCACACCCTCACCCACAGACTACAAAAAGATCCCTGAAAAACTCACAAGGAAGCAGAGAAGATGCTTTCAAAGTCTTCTGCTTTTATATTTTTCATGATCTGATTCAAATTGCTTTCATCACACCACCTTACCAATGTCACTAGCCACGGATTGACACATTTAATTGTTCTGCTAATAGCAACACACACAGTGGTCTGTTACACAGTTCGGCCCTGGAGTGGAGGGTTGGGGAGGTGTCCTCATGTGGAGGTGCTCGTGGAGGCACGCTGAGTTGATGGGGTTGCTGGTCCTGGTGCTCTTAATATCAGTCACTCTTGGACTGGGGGGTATGGCTTTGCGATACCTTGCTTAGCATGTGCAAAGCGCCAAATTCAATCCCCACCCCCATAAAACAATCACAGCCCCTAAACAATGAAACCATGATTCTGAGAAATAAGTTCAGAAGAAAACATGCTGGATTAATTGTTACTGCAGATGAGAACTGTTCAAACTCTTTCACATTTTCAGCAATACATAGCTTTTATTTGTTCTAGAATAGCAAGTCTGAAATGCATGCACATTT